GTCCGTTTGATTTTATGAAAAATGGCGAAAATCAGTTGAAAATCTGTTCAGAAAAATGTGAGAACCTTTTCCTTATATTTCGTGGTTCGATTGATCAAATAACTTCTTTCAGTTAATTAATCTATATGTTAAATATTGGTTGAAATAAAAAGTCAGTGTCACGAACGAGATTCGAACCCACGACCTTCGGCTAAATACACCGCTGCTCTAACCACTTGAGGTATCGTGACTTCGATCCACTCGGACACCAACTCCCCATGTCAACCTACCTTTCGAATTGTCCCTCTTTTTTGCATTTTTCAAATGTCGTGTAATCAGGATTCGATTCTCTGCGACAAATGAAATGGCCACGGAGAGCTTTTAGTGAAGATATACTTCGTTTTACTTATTAAATCCATTATATTTCGTTGACCGATTGATCAAATAACTGCTTTCAATTAATTAATCTTTAAGTAAGGTATTGATTGAAGTGAAGGAGTTAGTGTCACGAGCGGGATTCGAACCCACGACTTTCGGCTCAATACTTTTTTCATTTCAACCAATACCTTACATAAAACGCCTAAAAGGAATATTAGTTTAGCTTTCCTGTTTAGTTTGTACAAATCAAGGTCACCTTTTTTTATAAGAAAATATTTATTACTATCTGTATAAAATAATATATTTTGTAATTTTATGGAATTTGTACACATTATCAATACACGTCTAAATATATGTTTTGAGAGGGGTTAGCAATCATTCTTCCAACTTTATACGAGGGCTAGTCCTTGGCGAGGTCCCCGGTACCACCTCTACTTTAGTCGTCTGACTGGATTATAGGGATATATTATTTTGGGCATGGATTGGGCTAGTGGTTTGGTGTGTGGAGACTAACATGAAACTTATAAAATTTAGTGTGTATTTTATTTGTGTTATGTGAGTTATTATATTTGTTTTATTTTTATTGGTTGTGGAAGGTAGTACTGAAGACCTAGTAGGGGATATTCACTATGAATCTGAGGACTTTGGATTGGACGGACTAAATTCATTGGATATTTATCGGCTTAGCGGAGCCCCATAATTCTAGTCTATATTCCAAATGGGTTTGAGAAGAGGTTTTAGAGCGTCATTTTTTTCTCGACGTCCAAGATTTGCGTCCAGATACTTTATAGAGATGTCCGATTGTATGGACAGGAATGTTGTTGAGGTATATCGTTTGATATGCATTGCTTCAGAAAGGAACTGGAACATCGGTGCATTTGTTTTCGTTATTTTTTCCCTCCAAAATTTGCTCCATTTCGTTATTCGTTGGGCGTGTATTTGGAATCAATTGAAGGATGGGGATCAGAGGAAAGTACGTCTGTGACGTCTACAAAGGATGCAAGGAGGGTAGAGGGCGTAGTTGGGACAACAAACAAGGACTTGTTTAAACAATAAATTTTATAACAAATTTACTCCCTTTAACAAAAGTGGAGAAAGTGTCAACAAAAGACCTCTATTAGTCGAATGCAAATAAAAATGCAACTTAACCTCGATGAAAGAAAAGTATGAAACTATGACAGTGATAATTGAGATAAATTATTTGCTTGAAAATAATATAAGTGTATGACTGCATATAACGAACGCAACTAGAATGATGTGATTAGTATGATAGACAGAGTTAAAGGTCTGGCGTATTATCAAAGCCCGGTGACTACCGCCACGGGTGATTGTGTTTATAAGCGTGAATGTTTAAGTGTGTGAGAATGACGGAATTGAATGATCGAGTAAAATTAAAACTACCGACTCACTCCAGGTGTGTATGAATATTTTTATCGTTAATAGAAGTTCATTGAGATGAAAAACTCCCTGCATACCAACAGTCGGTTTTTTAGTTTTAGAAGTGAGTCCATAGTAGTATTTCGTGTAGGCTATGTCACTACATAGCCAAACATACATTAAGTTATTTTTGTGATAAAATGAATGTGTAAATGTATATGTATGAAATGTAATAGAATACGGCAATATTTAAACGTGTGGAAAGGTTAAATATTACAGTCAGCAAAAAATTTATTTTTATTATTGTATTTTTTTTATATTTTACGAGTGTTCGGAACAGCAGAGATCATATAAACCCTCAGGGTGCCGGTGTTTTTGAAAAAAAATCAAGTTAGTATGACGGGTTCAAATGCAAGGCCGCTAGATTCGAACCCGGGACCATTACCTTACAGTGATGAGCACCGTGTCAACGCCTGAACCATTGCGGCCACCGACGCCCCCAGCAAAGAATACAGTGTGCTCTATCCAGAAGGGCTCGCTCGTCTGGCCGTTCTTCAAGCCCCTTCTGGGGGTACTCGTAATATTAAACTCTACAGTGAAATTAGCACTGGCTGGGAAAATGTGTAACAGAGACTTGCTACGAACTAGATCCGCAAACTATCCTATTTTCAACGAGGGATGCATTTCTGAAAGATCAGGTTACTGTTTATCAAATGAAGGCCAAACACTCGAACCGTTATTATAAATAACGTTAATAATTTTTTAACAGTTATGTAAATTTATGTTAATATTATTAAATTATTTTTCAATTTCAAATAATTTAGGAATAGTTTAGGACGCTGAGTTAAAATAAAAGAAAAGCTAAACAAACATTTCTTTTATGAAAATGTTTTCTCCATTTGATTTAACGAGTTATTTTATTAATATATAACGTTTTTTTGAACCAATTTAAAATTTGGCCATTTTTAATCTTGATGAATATGGAAACAAAAATGTTGGTTACTATTGTATTTAAAAAGGACACTTTCATTTTTGTAACTATCGTATTTTCATAAATTAAAAGCACTAATACTTGCAAATATTAAAAGTAGAGCATATGCTAAAAAATTACGGTTCGATTTTAATTCTCGTTTATGTACTTTTTGGGAAACTAGGGCACTAGTATGTCGACAATATACATGCATACATATATATATATATATATATATATATATATATATATATAAATTTCAATCATAGATTTATGATTGTTGATTTCTGTATGACAACTTCATTAGCTGTCTTAATTTCTTTAACAATCATTTGTTTAACAATTAACTAAATTAAAATCAGATTAGAAGGAACTAACATTATTGGTAAAGGTTTTTTATGGACGTACTTATCCAATTATTTAGAATATACCAAATATTTTTTAAATTTTAGAATTTCTTACAGTTGTCACATACCAATTTCTTCCACTTTATACTGAATGAAACTAGGTTGGGTTTACCAAACTATCAACTATCCAACTAAACCAAATGACCAAAGAAAAAATAGGCAAAAATCGTTGGCGTTTGAAAAGCCTAAATGAATCAATTGATCTCTCAAGCACACAAACAAATATTGATAGTTTATTATTGAACAATGTTGAACAATGACAGTAGAACTAATTATAATTTTAACACAAAAATTTGTAACTGCATATTTTCCTGATGTCGAAAGAGTTTCTGTACAATTGTTATTAACACAAAAACCCCTGTTTGAATTATTTTTAAATCTGAATCATGAGATTTAACCATTTAATTATTCACCAAACCATGACGCAAATGTTCTAATAAATGACAAGATATTTGGAAATCACTTTGAAATTATAATCCTATGAATATACATAAATATGTTATTAAGTTATAGAAATGTATAGATTAATTACCAACAAAACAATAATTAAAAGATAAAACTCTGTCAGTTTGAATTATATTTCTTTATTTTTTCTGTTTTATGAAACGGAAAAACGTTGCTCTATAGTGTTAAAAAGAACTTTATAAATTTCTCGTCTTGTTATAATTATTATTTTAATCGATAGAGCAATATTTATTGTGTTATTGTTGTATTGTAACTTAAATAAGTTCGACTTTTCTATCGGATAATACAGACTATTATTATCCGTTTGACTGTTCTTTGTACTTTATTCACATTTTCCTATATCAAACAAAGTTATTTAGACTGGTGGTTTTTTGAAATTGAACTGCTGTCGGTTTATAGTCATTTTACTTTAGAAAGGATGCTGTGTTGATAACATCAGTCTATGTTCCAAAATAGCACTAGTATGGTAAAAACAATCTCTATTATGATGTGAAGAAAGCGAATTGTCCACTGCTCTCAACACGGTCACGTGACTCTCTTCAAATATTTACACATTACTCCAACTCGAAACTCTATTTCCGTCCATCTACCCTCCTAGGGCGAATCCTTTTCCCTTCAGATCCAATAACTGAACCCCCTGTTTTTTTCTCAGAGTGGAAGACGAATCGAGTTTGCCCTCAGAGTAAAACTTTTGCTCTCATTTCGTACTTATAAAATCCTACATAATGAAAACGGCTATGTGAGCTCCGGTGACGGTTTTACAACGTGACAGCTGGAAATGGTGGGCTTTCTGCTGGAAATAATGAGGCCAATTATTGTAATCAGTCTTTAAAGAATTCTCAGGGCACCGACCACACTTTCGCTTGTGAAGCAGGTCCTATCCCACTGACCCTGGCCAACCTCTGACATTTCTCTTCGATCTGCCAATTTTCTGAATACTTTCACAGCGAGGAATACCTCCATTGAAATATTTGATTTTGTGCCATATCCTATTTTTATATCGCCTATTATGATTATAAACCTTAAGATGAGTTTTATGATTTACTCTTACATTTGATATAAGTGTCAAATATTCAAACGGTCGATGAAGATGTTTAATTTTTGCTTCATCAATTTATGCGGAATTTCTTTCTCTCTAGTGGTGGCGTGCAAAGAAAGGGACTAGCTATTCAAGGTGAAAGTACTTCGTGACCCCCAAGTTAAAAAGTATTTTACAACTGATATCTTCGACTATTAGATATCGTCTTCTTGTGACCTTTGCTATTAATCAGAAGGCTAAAGGGTCAGATAACTGCAGGGATGAATCCTAGTTTCATTTGAAAACGCATAAAGGCTTCCGATGGGTGTTTCAGAATTTTCATAATATTTATACATGTTGAAAATAATTCTTCTGTAATATAAAATGGGTATTTATTTTGTTTTAGGTATTCCTAATTTGGTGTTTGCTGGCGATATGCAATTATTGTGGCGCAGTATTGACACAGCAGACTAATGACACTGAGCAAGCAGCATCAGGAAATGTAAATAGGAGAGAAGCTCCATCCGGTTTTGGAGTACCACCGACTGGATTAAGTGATTCCTATGGAGCTCCTTTGCCAGCAGATAGTTATGGACCACCGCATCCCCATGTTGGTCCGAAGCCAGTTTACGGACCACCACCACTGCCTAAACTTCCTCAAGACGAATATGGACCACCACCAGCCCCGTCGGATTCATACGGCCCACCACCGTCTTTAAATTTTGGTGTACCAAAACCAGTGTACGGACCACCAAAACCGGTGTACGGACCGCCAAAACCTGAATATGGACCTCCACCAAAGCCGGAATACGGTCCGCCCGATTTAAGCCCTCCACCGCATAAACCGCCAAAGCATTTTGGCGGAGGAGGAGGTGGCAGTTACCACGGCCCATCTTTTCACGGACCAAAACCACACTATGGCCCACCAAAACCTGTTTATGGACCCCCTAATAAGTTCGGACCATCATCTCCTTCGCACTCGTACGGTCCTCCAAAATCCGTGTACGGTCCGCCTCCATCTAAACCTAAACCAGTATACGGTCCTCCGAAACACTCTTTCACTCCTCCCAAACAGTTTTACGGGCCGCCTAAACCGAAACCTGTATACGGCCCACCTAAACACCATAGTAGTGGTCCGCCGAAATCTACTTATGGTCCACCAAAACATAATCTAAGCCCTCCAAAGCCAGTTTATGGTCCACCCAAGATAACATACGGTCCTCCTAGTGGTTCTTATGGTGTTCCACATGCTCCTCCTGGTGTTCCGTCACCACCCACTCCTCCGGAAATAACATATGATGGATGGCAACCGATACCAGGTTTATCACCACATCCTGACGGAAACTGTCCGCCAGATTCCGGTCATCATCATCACCATAGTGACGGAGGCGGATATGATGGTCCTCCTCCACCACTTACTGGAGGACATGTTTCACAAGACTATGGCCCTCCGCAAAACGCAGGAGGTCATCCGAGTGACACATACGGACCACCGACAAACAATGGTCTTGGGGTCGATCTAAGTGCTCCATCTGTTAATCAAAGTCCGTTCAGTTTTGAAGGAGGTCATGGAAGTCATGGTGGCCATGATCTAAATCAGAATTTTGAACCACCGCCACCACTTAGTGGAACATATGGGCCTCCGAGTGGTTCCTACGGACCGCCATCAAGTGGCCCACAGGATAGTTACGGGCCACCACCATCTCCAAGTGGATCATATGGACCCCCATCAGGTCATGATCAAAGCTCACTATTACCGCCGGCGGGTAGCTACGGTCCACCGCCCAGCAATAATTATGGCCCACCTCCACCGCCTGGCGGCAGCTACGGACCTCCACCGCCTGGCGGCAGCTACGGACCTCCACCGAGCGACAGTTATGGACCTCCAAGTAACTCATTTGCATCACCCCCGAGCCAGTCATATGGGGTACCTCAAAATCATGCAGACACCGGTAACTTTGGTTTTCCGATCGCAAGCTGCTGCGGAACACCTCCACCTGAAGTGGGACACCAGCATAAACCTCCACCTTTAGGTCTAGCTTATGGAGTGCCCTCTGGTAAACAAATAGAAGGGCCAAACCTACAACCTAAGGTACCGGTTAAATTCAGAGAGCCGGTCCCAAAAGGTTTAATAGAAGCTATAGGGGAATCTGTAGAATTCAAAACCAGCGGTCATGGACGGCCATTCCAAGGGGGTACGTACATTCCACCGAGCGTTCCTGAAGTGCCTCAACACGTTCCAGATGACGATAACAATCATTATGCAGCATCGTTGTCTCATCATGACCTTTCAGTCGGACAACCGTTCCGACTTCAGAATTCATTCGACCAGTCACCATCTGTAGATTTGACACCACCTGGTGGCTATCAGAGTCATGGAGCACATTCAGAGGAAGCTCCCAGTTATGCCGTACCGGCCGAACCATCACGTTCTAACGATTTCAATCACGGAGAAATCGCGAATTCTCTAGGCCTGGAAAACGCCGATATCACTCAGTCTCAAAGTATAGATTTCGGAAACGCTTTGGACTTTAAACTACAAGGAAACCAAGGAACCTACGACTTGCAGGTACAAGGCGGATCATCTGGATCTAATCCGGAACAAATCCTTCCCCGTGGACTGTTGCAAAATATATTATCAGCAATCGAACAACAGCCATCCACGGTGCAAGCAGTGCAGCATAGTTACGGCCCCGACAGCTTACCGAGTGGTTCAGAGCTCGTCAGGATTAAGCATGAATCGTCAGATTCCGAAACGTTATCCGTTGAAGAATCCGTCAACGCTGCATCAGCGACGAATGACATAAGACCAAGCAACATCGCACTCTATTTTAACCCAGATCACAACAAACCACAAAACGAGACGTTCTCATCGTTTCCAGAATCGAGGGACCAACTAGTCGAAGATAAAAAGGACGGAAGCTACGTCGTTTTCGACAGCCCTTCTAGCAAATATTCCTACGACATAACCTCACAAACAGAATCGCGATAGCGCGAATTGTTTTCTTGTCTTCATTTGCCTTGTGCTAGGATCTACCTTTCACATATTTATTTATTTACAAACGTGTGATACCTGTAAATACTGAACGTGTGCCAATTATGTCTGTTTATTGCATTTTATTACTTAATCACAACAGTTCAAATATTTATTTTTGAACTGTGTCGTGATACCGTATTTGTACTGATATTAATAAAGCCAATTATTAGGTGTGTAAATATTTATTGCGATTAAAGTACTTATAATTTATTGTGTTTATGTTTTCCTTAACTCGTTTAATGATGAGGTATAATTGGAGGGGCTTCAATATTTATAATGTGTATATATGTAAATATTTTAGGATATTATAGCCCAAAAATGATTATTTTAGGTACTATTAAATACGTAAAACGTACTTTAATAAAGTTCATTTACATTATTAGTGTTAAGCCGTGCTTTTCTAAACATAATTTTTAATAACATATTATAGATAAATTAAACATTATGAAATCCTTACGTCATATAGATTTTGATCAATTGATTCTGCAATTTTCGTAAAATTAAACACAAGGCAGTGAAAAAAAAGTTTGAAAAACCTACAAATTTGTTATATATGCTATAATGTATATTTTTAAAAGAAAATGCATATACCATGTACGTAAAAATAACATTTATAACGTTTAATGATAAACTTTAAAACCCAATTTGACCCTACATATACTTGCCTGATTTTATCAATTTAACACAAATATAACAACCAAGCTAGACAACAAAAAAGGGGCGCACTTTCAAATTTATATTTCTTTTTTAATTTGACAATGTTTTGGCCATATTTTTTGTCTCACTGCTTTAAAAATGATTTCATAATTATAATATGAGACGTAAAGTATTTGTTTTTGTCGCCGATTGGGTGGCAAAACCGCTAAATTTCTAATTTGATTTTAAATCTACACAATGAAAATCATCAATAATGGGAGTTAATCCTTTAAAACACACAAATTTATTATTGTGTTGGTGGCACAGGACAAAACGTTTATAAAAATGCCTATAATCAGCGAGCAGGCTGCCCGTGCCATTACACTGTTGAGGATGGAAGAAATCAGTGTTTCGATTCCAGAGTTTTAGATTTGCCTGAAACGAAGATTCATGAGCTCACGTCCATGAGCTAGGAGACCTGCTGACGACCAATTTATCAAATTTCACTCTGTAAGACATTTGTTTCCCACTGCTTCTGAAACATTTTAAAAACTTTAGCGATGAAAGAGTAAGAAGAAAACTTGTAGAAATGAGTCACCATAAGGTCAGCAACGGGTCCAGCACTTACCATCGATGGGACCGCTTAGAGATTACATGGGATACCGACATTGGATAGAAACTGTAATGTGTATAATCAGACGAATCCCAGTTTTCTCTTCTTTCACCGGACGGACGTCTTCCAGTCTATGGAGTAGCTGTAGAGCTCTACAGCCAACGCAGCATTACTGGAAGAGGGACGTTCGGAAGTAAGTTTAAAGCTTAATTATATTCTGAGTATAATAGACAGTATAATAAGAGAGAGGAGGTTACAAGTTATGGTGGAATGGATAGATGTGGTATGATATACAACTTATGGTGTGGAGATATACATGGAGTTACACGTTTTTAATAGGCTGTCACTTAATGCAGAAATCTGACAGAAATTCTTGAGGAATATGTGGTGTCGTTCGCTCCTGTTATTGGCGAGCCGTTTTTATTTATGCAACATAATTCAAGACCAACTGTCGCCACTAGTGTTGTGCAGTATGTTCAAGATGTCAATATTTACCTTCTAAGAAGGCCAGCCCCTATCCCTGATATGAACAGCGATGAGTGCTTTTGGGACGCGCTCGGACGTTGGGTAAATCAAAGAAATAACCTTTGTACAACCTAGGTGAGCTGAAAGTAACGTTACTTGAGATTTGGGACGAAATTCCTCAAGAGCACCTGAATTATAAAAAATAAATGTCTTAATATTACTAAATTGGCAAGTAATATTTTGTGGAGCAGTAGGTAGTGATAAATATAAAAAATATAAATAAAATAGCAGTGGCATTGTTTTACCACAACATTTTTTTGACAAGTTGCTCCAAGTTGGTCCCAACTGCAATTTCTATGAATATGTAATTTATAATTATATTTAGACAATTTTAATTGGTTCATAAAGGGAGGAATTTGAAAACGACATCAACGATATTGCCAGTAATCGTCCCGTTAGCAAGAGCGCCCGCCCATTACAAAATAATAGCTACAAAGCAATAAACCATTAACTGTAATTAATAATGTGTGGTGTTTAGTGACCGTTACTTGACGATTATTTGGAAGTCGTGAGATGCGGTCTGGTGTGGCGTAGGTTTTAGAAAAACATTTTCTTTATGGTGCCAACTTTTCGATCTTTATTGAGATCATATTCAGAGCGTAGGATTTATAAACATTGTTTAAATTTTCATCTCATGAGTAATAAAGTCTAGAGCCGTTTGGGACTGTCAATCATTGGATATAAAACCAAAATTACCGCAGCCTGGGAACCAGTGCACAAAGGGCAGAAGGGCAACGTTACTGGCTGATAAATTGGCCATGGGAAGTTATGTGGATACCTATTGGACCTGAACTTTTTTGTCTATCGAACTGCCAAAAACGTAGATCCATCAAGCAAGAAATTAATAATTAGTCCTCCTTTAATGGGTTCCAGGCAAGAGCCTTCGAAAACTAGGATATGTTAGGACTAGTATAATATTTGAACTGCTAACTACAGATTTCAAAGGCATTTATGCTCGGAGCAGCAGAAACAAGATTGAGCAGATGTGGCAAAAGAATTGGATAATAGACCCGTATTGGTGGCAGTGCGTAGGTCGTAAACAGGAACTCTTTTTAATTTTAACCTATAGTATGAATGTGTGGTGATTACTGACCGTTAGTCGAAGATTATTCAGAAATCGTGAGATGCGGTCTGATGACCATCTCACTTTTTCTGGATAATCTATAATATGAATTTGAAAAAATGTGAACTGTCACATTAAACCACAAATCATAACTAATATGCTAATAATTCAATAAAATTAACCTACATAATGCGATAATTTCGTATAATTTAGAGAAAAGTTTTTAATTTTTAATTTTTCGAGTAATGTGAATTATTGTTAAACATATTCAGTAAAATAATTTTATTATTCGTGCTGTAAGTATTTGTGCCGTCTAAACAGTGAGATTATTTGTGCATAATAAATCACGAGTAATACCCTTTATTTTATGTTGTCACGTTACAATTTTTTACGTATTGACCTAATTTGTTGAAAGTGTGCTGTCTGGAATTTAAAAATTAACAATACAAAGACAGTTCATTCGAAGAGATATATGACCAATAAACTCAGATGTATGCTGATAGCAGATTCAAATATATCTCTTTATACAGGATTATTTAGAACTCAATTGTGTATAAACGTAATTCCCAAAAGTCATTTAGAGGGATGTAGCCGTTTAAAGAAAACGCTTTCCAACAAATCATCGGATTGGATCGTTTGTCGTGGGCGGTCTGCGACAATTGCCAGGTGTTTGTTCATTACTGGTCACCACCTCTCTGGCCGACCTAATTACGACTGGCACCCACGTGGGATAAAGTCTGAACTAAAACAAACAGCAAGAATTGACAAATCGAAAGAGATGGTCAGGAATGTCAACACGGAAATTGTCAACAATACAAATGTAGAATGGATTATTGCCAGTTTACCTATTATCGATAAACAATTCAATTTATTAAATCCATTATATTTATTGGTCTTTTAACCAAATTGCTTCTTTCAATTAATTAATCTTTTTATGTAAGGTTTTGGTTGAAATGAAAAAGTTAGTGTCATCAACGGGGTCGAATCGGATGGGCTACAGGAAACTGTCCAAAATTGTGGACGGTAGACGAATATCGCTACATGTAGAAAAAAAATAATTTAGCGTATTGGATCAGATGGACCCACTGAAAATAATTCTATCTGAATAACTATTATTATTCTGTTGAAACACGAAGTGTAAATAAACAGGGACAAATACTGAAAACCTCAACTCCTTAAACGAAATTGAACGCTGATCAGGAATATAACTTTGAAAAAAGAATTAAGATGCCTTATTCGCAAATAACTAATTGAAAATCCCGTTCTGAAATAACGAAAATGAAGCTTGCGCACGTTTTTTTAAATAAATTTCACACTAAAATTTTTAAAAGGGCGTTTAAAATATAAACTGAACCTACGACCTTCTCAATAGTCATTGTTTTTACTATTTCTGTTAAAGTCAACTGGCTTTTTTAAACGAAATTTTTAAAATTTTGGTTTTTCATTAAAATTGCACACTTTCAAAAAATTCAATTTTGCAGTTCTCTGTCTGTGTGAATGGAATGTAATTAGAATGGGTATATTGATCGATTACAATAATTTGTTATTCCATGAATGTGTAATAAACAAAAACTGAACTGACAAAACAGCTATAAACTAACAACCAATAACTATCATTATGTACCTACTACACAAGTCAACAACCGTTTTGCACTTCGTCCGTTATCCTTTATAGATATACGTTCTATTAACAAAAACGTTCCATGGTACGATATTTCTGTTATTGATTCGGATTCTACACAGTAAACGAACAGTAACAGTTAAGGTACAATCCTTCAACTAAGCAGAAAGCGTCCAAATTTATTGTCTTTTCGAGATTTTAGGCGAAATCGCTCTATTTGAAACAATGCTGTAAGGGATAGGGAAGGAATAAGCAGCTGAAAGCAACAGGGATAGTACTTCAATGTGTATAGAACCGAGAAGAGACGGTGCCAAAGCGAAGAACAACGAAGCTTTTTTTTACGTCTAAAAAACCGAATATTCCTTGAATATTGTTGGTTTTCTCTCAACTAACCCACCTGATTCCATCCCAAAGTTGAATTATTTATTGTCTTTATCTCATATTTGGGTGTGTACACAAAAGGAAATTAAGGTGAACGAGTTTTTACAATCAACCGCTGCTTGGGGGTGGAGACAATATTCAAAAAATACCTGTATATCTTGCAAAATTTAAAATTTTCAGGTTTTGGCAGTGATTACTGTACAGGATCAATTTTTAACAGAAAAACCATTATTACAGCCTTATTCCGGGGCTCAAATACTGTAAGAAAAGTGAATTTGATTATCAAAATTTCAGTTATTAGGAAATCGATTTTTTTGCTACCTTTGTCCTGCTGTGCGGTGCTCATCATTGTAAGGTAATGGTTACGAGTTCGAATCCAGCAGGCCTACATTCTTCGGACCTGATATACTTATAAATGGGCTTTTTTTTAAATTACCCCTCCCCCCGAATGGTTCAGATGCCCTCGAACTCGAAATACCCTCGTTAAGAAAAGTACAAAGTGTGATCAAATCTAACAGCTCAATAGTTTATAATTTAGCAGTTTCACGGAGTTTTGTTGATTTTTTTTATCGATTAACTTTTATAAATAGATAAGTACCCCTGTTATTACTTTTTCATTTATTGATTTAGTATACAACTCTATATCAAATTCAACAAGCAAAAATTGTTGTTTACAATGATATACATATCTATATGCACATTAATATACATATACACATAAACATCAAATTAATAAGTCTCCAGGGTCAGATCACTAATAAAAGATATAATTGCAAGGGTTTTTTAGACATACCCCAACCTATTCCTCTCAATTTTTAATGAATGTATAAAAAAAGCGGCATTTTTCCAAAAATTTGGAAGGAATCATAAATAATAACGTTGGTTAAACCTGGTAAGGAATCATGCAATAGTGTGGACAATTTCAGACCAATTAGCCTCATATCGTTTTATGGAAAATGGCTTGAAAAATTACTTCAATCACCGAGCGCATAATTCACTTCCATCGCAGAAGAAACAATCTAAGCGACAAGCAATACAGTTTTACTCCTCAGTATAGCACTATTTTGATGAAACATAAAAAAATTGCAGAAGGTTGTCTAGAAATGGAAGAAGAAATTTTAATCATACTCCTAGACGTTAAAGGGATTTGAATCTTCAGTAAACTTTAAAAAAATTGTCCCAAAAATTTATACAAACTTGCAGTGAGTTATTTTAAGGACAGAACCGCACAATTGGCAACGAAGCCTACAGTTATACGAAGAAAATTGACCAAATACTGCCGCCAGGGCACGTGTTGCGGTCCTGGCTTTTGGAACTTATTATATAACTCATTATTTAAATCGTCACTACCACCAAATGAAAAAACCATCCCTAGTAACATGACAGTGAAACATTAATTTTTAACAGTATGACGAACTGTTGAGCGAAGTTGTTTTCACTCTCACGAATTTAAGACAGACACACTTGCCTAACATAAACAATAAAAAATCAATCGGAATGAAAAGAAATAATAATAAAATTACGTAATACGATCTATCGTTTTTCGATGAGTGTAGTAACGCATTGGCATAAAAAAGATATG